TTTATATACTTCTGCAGACAACTGATACGCAGCCCAGCGATGCCCACACGTTGAAAACTTCGCAGCACGATATAAGCGTTTTTTTTTTATTTGATAACCGTTTTAGGGCTTTCGTAAACCATGGTGACTGGGTATTTTCGAATATATTTCTTAGTGGGACATGCTTGTTGATAAGAGAGATAAATTTCAACTTTATGATATTCCAGTTATCTTCGACAGAACGCCCCGAAGAAGTTGTTAGATACTGGTTCAAGAAAATGGCAAGGTCATTATTAATTTGCTCAAAGTTGGCCTTTCCGTAATCACGAATTTGTTTTGGCTGAAAAGTGGGTCTCGTTGCCGACGCTTTTAGAGAAAAATGCAGCACTTTGTGATCACTAATCTCGGGCAGATATGTTATGGGAGTTGCATACTCAGGATGATTGGTCAAAATGAGGTCTAATACATTGGCTGTCGACTGGGTAACTCTGGTGGGATGGAGAACAAGTTGTGAAAGGCTAAAATCTAGACATAGGTTAATAAACGAAATACATTCCTCAGAATGTACATTTACACAAGGAACGTCGTTTGACCATGATATAGATGGGAAATTGAAGTCGCCTTATTATAGATGGGAAATTGAAGTCGCTTTATTGCAATCTGCAAAAAAAACAAAAACGGCTTTTATGTTTTTACGATATTTTAGGCAAAGTGCCGCTTTACGGCTCCGCAGGTTCAATTCCACGTCAAAACATCTCAATCCTAAGTTCTCCGTTGGCACCTGACACGAAAACGCCCAAAATTTACTTTTTTTAAAGAAAAATTATTTTGTGGGCTCCTTGGATAGCGTTTGCTCGAGACTGTTAGATTAACCGTGTGCTCACAAATGCAAATGTACCCGAATATAAACGTGAGTAAGAGAGAAGCTTATTGCACAAGGGATGGTAAATAATGTTAGTAAGAATAATAATTATTTTTCGCTATTAAATATTCTATAGGCCCGTAGCTCTTAAGTTTGAGCAGCGCTCCATGGCGAGCGAAATAGAATATTTGGCATCTTATACAATCTTGTGCGCAACAAAGACGAGGACAAAAGCAGAGAAGAGGACACAACAAGGCGCACAAGATGCGCCTTGTTGTGTCCTCTTCTCTGCTTTTGTCCTCGTCTTTGTTGCGCACAAGATTGTATAAGATGTCAAACAAACTCGCCCAAACAACCACTGTTCTAGAATATTTGGCTCGCGTTTCGAACATGCGTCATCACGTCTTCCCCACCACAGTTTTTTTTTTTTTTTTATACTCCGTTCCATTTTAAGTGCCAGCATACCAAAGGCTACAAAAGCGTGCACCGAGATTTCAGTAGCTCTGCCAAACACGCGATCTCGTGCAGTGCAAGCATCACTCAGGGGAACATGTTTTTGCAAGTAGCTTCAGCTTCGCTATCACATAAAGTGAAACCTACAGGCTCACGGAAGCTATGAAAGAACGCAATAATAAAGCTGAACGGGACGCTGAGGCCGCGAGCTGCATAATTCTTTCTTATTTATTTTAGTTTTCTTTTTTATGCGTTTTTTTTATCGCGCGTCTACAGATGCTGCACAGATGCTTGCATTCGAACGTGGCACGTGCAAAATCGAACGTTACAGCGCCGCCTGGATAGTGCTGCCAGCAAAACATGGTCGCGTCTTGCGGACGCGCTCGCTCCCCCTGCCCGAGAGCAACGGGTCTATGTATACCAAGTTTGCCTGTGTTATAAAAACCTGGGATGTGCAAATCGAGCCGCATCTCTTCAGGTATGACACCATATATTACTTGAGTCTAATATGTTAATTTACTATTTTTAGATGTCCAAATGGCGGGAAGTGGCGAATATTAATTATTATTTCAATCAATCTTTATTTGATAGTCTCTTAGCTCTTCTTCCTTGTCCTCCTGTTTCGACGGAGCTGCTTAGAGGTGTTCCAACTGAGAGACAACGAGGAACACAGCAGCGTTAAAGTTTCCATATAGTGGAACAGAGGTTCTGAAATTAATACGCTTCGCGTTCCATGAACTCACGAGCGGCCATAACAGACTTTCAACAGAGAGGCTCGTGCCAGGGCTCGTAGTGTGCAAACGCGTGTAGTGACGTCCTTTTACACTTTACACCCTTGACATCAGGCTAAGTATTATCAGCTGTGAACGACAAATTCGATGAAGCATGTTCGAATTGACTGTGACAAGTTTGACTGCTTAGAAGCTTGGAGTCATCGTGTTCTTAAAACATCACCGTCAACATTGGCAACCTGACATTGCTCTTACTTACACGTAGCAGAGCGCGTTGCATAAACTAGAGTTCACAAAGAAAAAATAAAACAATGAAATGAAAAAAAATCACTTAAAGTTCTTAAAAGAAAAAAAAACCGTAAAAAAATTGTGAGTGTCTCTCCGTCCATTTCAGTGTTTTAATCTGTCTGTGTGAACCATTGCTCTTCTTTCTGTTGATGGAACCATAATTAATCTCAGTTTGACTAATCTTGGAAAGCCGACCACACCGACGTTCTTGGTAGCCTACGTGGCCACTAGTTAGTACTTAGAAAAATAAGACAGTAAGATGATTTTACCCCGTCGATGGGGGTACAAACTGCCCAGAGTCGAACTCCGTCCGAAGGCGGGCAACGCTACTCGGCTGGTTCTGACCTAGCCACGTCGGGCGACACTTTTATCATATTCAAGAGGCAGAAAGGAAAGAAACGGCAGCGACGTTTTTCAGTGAATTCTGCTTCATCGGCGGAAATAAGAACGATATCAGACTGTCAGCTTTGACGGCGTTGTGTTGTTGACGTCACAAGTATGAACCACGGTGGTTTCCGCGCACTCTATCGTGCTGCTCTAGTTCGGCGCCTAAGGAGTGCTAGGGATTTTTTCCCCCTTCAATTGAAAAACGTCACGAAGAAAAACGTCAGAAAGGACAAATTGGCGGCGTTTTTCGTGCACTCCCCCCGTTACGCCATAACGCTAAGAATCTTTGTGTTCCACGAGTTTAGCGGCCAGTATATTTCGCTGCATTTAGATCGCAAATCTAGTAATCAATACTACCTCTAAGCTGTGCCTGTTTTTACCTTCAGAAAGGGAACCTTCCTCCTGGGAAAATGGTAAGACGCTTCCTCCTTCGTCGATGCACGCCGTAATAACGAACGAGTTTTTAGGGAGTTTCAGGGAACCGGTTTTCGTACATTCGAAACGGTACGATGAAGCGTCCGGTACGCACTGCGCATGTGGTACCGTTTTCTCACCTTCGCTACACTCTCCATGCGCGGCACTAGCCTTCCCTGCAGAATCCAGGATATCATTGCGCGTTGCGGAGAACGTTCCAGTACAGCGGAAGCGACTCACGAAAACTCCCTATTAACGATGCGCGGTATTAAGAATCGCTCTCAAACTCCCGAAACCAGGTGGCGCTAGTCAACGTCAAATTCAAAATTCGAAAAAAAGTATATATATATATATATATACAGGGTGTCACAAAAGAAAATTTACACGGTCTTTTTTACCGCAAAAATGAACTATAGGCATCGCCGGACGCTCATTCTCCGCCCAAAGGTAGCGCTAGGGGTCACAACCAGATGCCAAAGTTTCAGCCCGATCCGATAACTTGATCAAAAGTTATAAGTGATTTTCTGAAAATTTCAATGGGAAAATGGCGGCCGACGGAGTTTTCAAACACATGGGGCTTTATGGCACCAGAAACCGAAAACGGGCAAAAATGGGCTCCATTTTCCCATTGAATTTTTCAGAAAATCACCTATAACTTTCGATTAAGATATCGGATCGGGCTGAAACTTTTGCATCTGGTTGTGACCTCTAGCTCTACACTGTAAAAAATGGACCGTAAAATTTACGGTCAAATACCAGGCAGCTGATGCTGCCAAACTTGTACCGTAAAAATTACGGAGGGCGGTAAATTTAATTTACGGGCCCTTTTAACGGCGACCGTAAAGTTAACAGACAGAGCGCTGTTCATTTTACAGCCCAGTTTAAAACATGTACCGTATAATTAACGGTCTCTCAAGAATGTACCGCAAAAATTACGGTTGGCTGTTCTTACGGTGAATTTTAGCGCCGACCGTAAATCCAGCAGTCACAGCGCAGTTAATTTTACGGCCCTCTGCGTACCGTAAAATTTACGGTACGCTTTTGTGTACCGTACCGTAAAAGGTACCGTAAAAATTACGGTGCGCTTCATTGACAAAAATAATTCTTGGAGAAGGGGAACCAGAGGGACATAGGATAAACAGAAATCTCCGAAGACAGCTAGGTGGCTGTTGCGCAACCGAAAAATCCGCCTGGTCCTTTGTTCCTCTTGTTCCCTTTCTCCGGCGATCATTTTCGTCATTCTTGTCCAGCTCGATTGCACCTTTGCATTGAATTGCGTTATAATCAAAGCGCTTTATAGCCTTTGTGGTACCTTTTTATATCGCGGTCATGCCTTGTAAACTGCAATAAAGCGGAGTCACATATATCCAAATTTTCATACGGTTAAGTTTTCACACAAAAACTTTTGAGAAGCGCGGTGCTCGGTTTTAGATTGACAGAACATTCTGGGTCATTTCTGTTGCATGTTTTCCATTCATCGTAGTTAAGGCCAATATGTTCTGTATTGCAAAACTGATTACGATTTGACTTTAGGCATGCATAGTAAAGCCTGATTCAGATAGTTGCGTTTGATTGCGTTGCGGCCGCGAGGAACCAGCAGCTCCCTGCTACTTATATCGCGCGCCAAGATTATTCCTTGAATTGGATTCCACGCTTCATACGAAGCACAGATGAGCCGGTGATTCGCTTTCGGTTCTCGCCGCAACGCAGTCAAACGCAAGTGTCTGAACCGGCCTTAAGAATAATTTCTATCAAATATGTCCTCTCAATTTAGTGGTGTGGAGGTGTGAGCGGTGCGGCCTGCTGGCCATGCAGAATCTGATATTCTTTTTCTATCGAAATCATTTAAAAGGAGAAAGGCGAGCAACACAGAAATATATTATATATTGTCAAAGTGGAAAAATTTTCTTAGCTTTATTTGCAACTCCACTCAAACTCCGCCATGTCTGCGATGAGCTTGAGAACTTTCTTGTGGACACACGTTTTCCTCTTCTTCTCTCGACGATTTCCCCTATCAGGGTTGACGCCCACGAAACACCTGGAAGAGCAAAGTACAAAATTGCATGTCTATGAGCTAACCATAACTACGACAGGTCAAAAAAAAATTAATGAACACCGAAAATTTTCGATAATGACAAGTGCATTTCAAGCAAGGGTGCCATCGTTTTGACAAGCCTGAATTCTGTTTCAGGAATGGCATAGGGATACAGTTATTAAATGAAGAGCAACTGTAATAACCCAACACTTGTTATTTATTACACCATAACAAAAGCACACCATATCTGGAAAAAAAGATTTCGTCAAGGAAGTATGCTTAGTACAATCCTTGCCGAATGTCTGCTAAAACCAGTAGATCAAACTTGCAGCAGCGATAAGCGGTTCAATAACAGAATTCAAATAAAAACTAAAATAAAAAAGACACCTGCCAGCAGCAATAACATTGAAAATTAAGTAAAAGTAATGACAGTTATTTCAGAAGGAACATCCATAACTACAATGGCCATCTTTACTGTCGTTGTGCTATATTAAATCACTCTGGAATGTCTAACTGGTCCTATTTTGACTGCTTGCCACAGCGCTATATTTTCATAGCAACCGCACACGCCACACGGAGTGCACCGCCAATGGGGTCATAGTTTTCACAACTCAATTTGTCTCCAGGAGGGTGCACTTAATGCACGAAGTCTATTGAACTGCTATAAAACAGGCACAGGGCCAAGATAGTGAAGCTGTCTTCGACTACATATATTACGTAATCCGCGTACTGCTTTGCAGAAAAAAAGGTTCGCTGGAGTGTTCAATATAGTAGAAAATTATCTAAATATGATGCTTAATAAGTCAGTCACAATGAGTGCAAACCATGACTGTCTAGTTTGTTGAGGTTTCCATCTTCACGCTAAAACATTTTGAAATGTGAACTTTGGCAAAGGCTAAGTACCAGCACACAGCTTCTGTAGGCGCTTTTGCTGCATAAATGATAATTATACATATCAGATTAAAAAGAGACTAGTCTATGCCTAGGGCTTTTGGTGCAGTTTGTGCTAGTCAGAGTGTGCGGAAAAGAATGCAGTTGAATATTAAAGCTGCCGCGTGGTTCCAAGGATTTCAAAATACCTCTGAATAAACTCTAAGGTGGCGCAGATCTCCTCCGGGTAGGCGACGTTGAAGACGTAGTAGGCACTGAACAGTGAGGCCAAGGATCTTTCAAAGAGGTGAAGGTCCTCCATGACGATGGTTCCGTCGATTGACAGCGAGTAACTTTTCGTTGTGTAAATGCTATCTCCTACAAACAGAAAAAAAATATTTGTAATCTATAACTGCACATCTATTACCGAGTCTGAAGCGCCCAGAAGTACATTAAAAGACTAACAAAGCGCAAAATAATCAAAAGCCATAGCGTCAAGACGTTTTTGAATCGCGGCTGATGGAGTCTCACGATGAGCAATGATGCATGGCGAGATAGGTGTTGCTCCTTGCGTCACTTCAGTGGCTGCCTTGTCTTTCTATAAAAGAACAAGATGCAATGAAAAACGGTCATCCTATAGCAATATACTGGGGATTTTTATACCTCACTGTGAAGAAGTAGCAGTTCCAATTTTTCGCCGAAGTATGTCACCAGAAGCAGGATTGCACACATCATGACTGCTTGCGGACTTTCGGGATGGCCCGCACGTCCTTGAAGAACGGTAAGTAGTTTCTTCTTCTCTAGTTTCTTGTACTGCATAAACTCCATTATCTTCTGAGCTTTGCTTGGCAGTGAATCGTTGAGAGCACTTTCAATATCAACGGACACAAGTCGTCTGAAGTGTTGAAATAAACCAAAGGGCTGGAAAAGGAAAGGCCAAGCCTCCTTGAGGTCCTCCACGTTCATTACGCCAGAATCAATGTTCGCCCTCTGCAGTGAGTACGTGCTCTCCATAAGATCCAGTATATCGTACTTTTGGTTTTCTCCATGCTGATAGAGTTCCTTGAGCTTAGCTTGTTTTTCCTTCAAAATATCATCGGCCTCGTCAGGTCCGCACGGGCTTAGGCATCCGTACTGCCTTTTCTTTCTTTTTTCTTCCCTTTGAGAGCCAGATGGCTTTTCTGGGCGAACGCTGTTTTCCACCCTTGAGACGAGTTGATTTAGCAGGGACTCGTGTCCAGTTCCGACGACGCGCCCATCAATAACGTCTTTCAAACATGGGTGGTCCTTGACTATCTTGCGTGCGATTATGTCCAGGTGTCTTTTCAAGGGTCGACTGCATTTCTTCATGGCAGCCTTGACTATGATTCGGACCATTTCTCTACGATGTTTAGGTTCTGGTCGTTTGTAGGATTTCAGAGCAGTGTTCAGGGCTGAAGGCATCTCTGTCCATGGCACAACGAAGTTATCCGCCCATTCCGGATCCAGGTGTGAAGTCGGTGACTCTGTGCTTGAACTGGGTAACGGCGTAAGATCGCAGGATTGCGGTTCTTGTATATCGTGAGAAGCACTATTGGGTAATCCCCCTGTAAAAAAAAAAAAACAAGCTCAATCTTTTATTGATGGTACAAAGATGCGAGCATACGAGAGCTTTCTTTCATGGCTTAAACAAAACAAATATGGCAATGCCAATTTCGCTGTTAAGAAATTAATAAAAAAAATGGCTGGTGTCTTTGCAATGTTCTCCGCAATTAATAAATAATCTGTTACACGTGAAGAAATTATATGTAGATTTAAGCTTCTGATGACACATTTATTGTACTCAATTCATTCATTACTAATATTTTTCGATAAACTCCTTGAGTTACTAATACTCTTATAAACCGTTAATGATATTAGTTTGACAACGCTCACCAATGGGTTTCAGCGCGTTTACAAGGAACACCTAATCACAATTTGCATAATTATTTTGCAATAAAAATATAACAGACGGGAAACAGCTTACCCTCAGCACGGAAGCTTGCGAGCAGTTTTCGAACTTGAATTGGCTTCAGACACCCCTTTAAGTCTTCTTCACTGACATAGGTCAAATCGTTGCTCGTCTCAACACCAAGGTTTTGCAGCGCTTGCATCACGCCAAGGGTTTCTGCTTCTGTTAGGCTGCCTAATACACAGAGCACTTTTTCCTGGACTGAATCCATTCTAAAAAAAAATGGAATGTTTGGAAATCAAGATATACCTTCCATCAACATTGTAAAGTGGAAGAGGAAGGTAATCCCCTAGAGATGCCACACTTATGCAGAGGTACTCAGACGTCTCGCTAACTTCGTAATAGTGGAACTGTGGCATGAACCTTCCTGAATACTTTCGTAGCATAAGAAACACAGACTCCTTATTCACTACTAAGCCCTGAAGGATTTCGCCAAACATCGGATCATGTGATTGAAGTGCCACAAACATGCCATGGGTGTAAGCTGTTCCCATGTAGACCACTTCGTCGGTCACAACGGCCCCAAGCATTGTTATTCCCAAGCTCCTAATACACGTTTGCAACTCAATGCAATATGTCTGGATTACAAAGGGCGTGCTGTTGTTAAAGCTAACCGTGGGACCGAAAAACGTCTCAGAATGCAAGTAAGCTTGTAGCATCTGGTGCCGTTGCGCTAATGTCTTGCAGAGGGACTTGAAGTTTTTTAATTGTCGCACACAGTTCTTGAAATAAGACTGCTTCGATTCGAACCTCATCATCCACATGTTTATCAGTGGACCAAACGCCAGCACCAAGCCAGGATAATGTAACAGATAATGGTGCTTGGGAATCAAAGCTTCAAGAGGAAAGAGCTGAAGCCTGTCGGCAATGTACTCTTCGATTAGCACTTGAAGGTACGCAACGGTTCCCTCAGTCAAGCTTGGTGCAGTGACAATATCTACGATCTTTCGAAGAGTTAGAAAAAGAATCCAAACAGGGTCATTTACATTCTGAACTTTGTGACCAATGTACACAGAAAAAAAGCGCAGCAAATTCCATGTTGCAATGCCATCACCTGAGAGCTTGACCCCTTTCTCGTTCACCTGTGCTGGCTTACTGTTAGCATCACCATATTTGTAAGGAAAAGAAGCAATTTGACTGTTTAAGTACGCGTAGGAAAACCACTTACGCGAACAGACAAAGTACCTTATGCACAACAAGAGGTCTTTTGCAATGATTCCCTCAAATAGATCATGTGCCAAACAAGGAGGTAAGGCTGGCAAGCAGACATGAAAAAACTGCAGCTCATTGAAAATGCTGTTGTTTTTTATACCTCGGACTGGAGTCCCAAAGACAGCAATGTCTTGGATTGCATCAGTGTAGTCATCAATTGTGCGTAGCTCTTGGACTTGAAGAGGACTACGTAGAGAGTCAGGTCTCGTTGTCAGACAATACCGACAAAAATAGAGTGACTTGCTAAAGTTTTCCATAAAACCACCTATGAAATGGCTTCCGAGGTTATCACCCAAAATACACGCTACCGTGCCTTTTATATTCACGCCATTAAGGGTGAGTCCATTTTTCTCAAGGTCGGCAAGGTCCCGTATAAGGGAGTCAAATATTTTCTCATGACCGAATGCTCTAACGTCGCTTTCACTAAAAAGTAGTGCTAACTGAAGGTGATCTCTCGTGGAACGGTTATGTTTTGCGAAATTAGCGAGCGTAAAATACACGCCAACCACTTTGTGTACCTTCCGAGCCGATCCCAACGGCTTGACCACTTCAAAAGCGTCCTGGTAGATCATAATTTGCAGTGATGGGTTGTTAGATGTAAAAAGCACGTTCCTCTGATAAGAGGCGCCGTCACAGAAGTCTTCCAAAAGACCATTGGCGCGTGACCCCTTTCGAGGCTCCCTCAAGACCTGGCTGACAGATCTGTTTTCCAGGAGCACTTTTAGAGTTTCTTTAATCGGGACGTACTGAGCAAACCGTTCTTTTTTAGAACGACTGCGTCCCAAGAGCACGCTAACGGGTTCCACATAAGGGAATTGTTTCCTGAAATACGCAGAGCGCATGTGTGGTGTACGGAACACGGTCGAATTAAGTTTGCTCATAACGTCCATTGAGTAAATGTCAGACATAACGCTGCCAGCAACATCTGAACCAAGCAGGTTTTGAAGAGTCTCAGCAAGCGGGCCAAACATGTACTGTTTATTTAAGAGATGTACGTGCTGAAATTCATCGATGATTTTTTGTATCGTTGACTCAGGCAAAAGCAGCTTTCCTCGTAACTTCAGGTAAAACAGAGCGAGTGTATATTCAACGCACTCTGCCTTCTCTTCATCAGGCAAAGACCGCAATAGGTCGTGGGTATTATTACTGCTAGATATTAGGTGAGGCGCACTCCCTTCATAATTGTCTCCACTGGTTGACGGAGCCGCGAGATCCTGAACCCGAGGCAGATCTTGAAGCGCCGCGTCGTCGCCCACCATACGCGCCACTCGGGGGTGCGCCCGGCTCAAATGCGCCGTAAAGGACGACTTCACTCGAAACCTTTTCTCGCAGTTCGAGTAAGGACACGAAACCAGAACTCCATCCGCGATATGAACTTTTAGGTGCTTCACCAGAGCCGCCTTAGTCTGGCACTCGCTCAAGCATGTGGACAAATTACACCGAAAGCTCGTTAACCTCTCCGAAGCTGACCAACCTTCTTGAGCTTTTAAACCCCTGTGGCTTCTTAAAATATGGCATCTGAGCGCAGCATAGGTTACAAACTGACGACAGCACCTTTCGTCGACACACGGAATAACCCGAGAACCGAAACTATGGTCCTCGAAATGCCTAGCGTAACCTGCTAGCGTGTTCGAATGAAAACTACAAAGTCTACAAGTAAACATTTTAGGGGCAGTTGGCATGCCACAGTTGCACTATATTAACAAAGGTAGCAAGTATAACTGATGTCCAAATACCTGGTCTTGTTTGCAGTATCCCCCGCTCAAAAGTTTTGAAAGAAGAGCGACACCAGACGAGAGCAACGTCGACACAAACGGATTGGCGTTTACTTCGCAATTGCGAAACCTCTTTTCCCGCCTTGTCCCGACGGCCCCAAAGAGTCTGCCGAGCCTTCTCCTTCTCGCTATTCCCTCACCCCATCGCGCGCCTAACTAAGCATAACATATTGTAAAAGATTTGTAGGAAGCGAAAGGGCGAATGGGGCTTCCTCCTCCCAGCCGTGGACACCATGACGCCGTGGACCGAGTCATGGACTGCGACGCGCATTTTTTTTCTTTTGGTTCATGTGCTTTATGCTCCGGGTGTTGTTTTTTTTTGCTACCTTTCTCTCTCTTTCTTTCTTTCTCGCTTTCTTTCTATTTCTTTTCTTTTTCTTTCTTCCTTGTTCTCTTGCGGCGCCCACCATGTTTACGGTCTATTTTAGTTAAAATATTTTTGCGGCGCAGTGACAGTAGTTATTGCGTGTAATAGGCCGTAAATTATACGGTTATTTTTTACAGTGTACCTTTGGGCGGAGAATGAGCGTTCGACGATGCCTAGTTTATTTTTGCGGTAAAAAAGACCGTGTAAATTTTCTTTTGTGACACCCTGTATATACACTCCGTGCGGGAACTATAGGGGGCGCTTTGAAAAACGCGCGCAGCGCCGCTAGCGGAGGAGCTGGCGTTCGACTGTGAGGCGCGTTCAGCAGCCTGCGGCGCCTTTTCGCATGCCAAACTGTGGCGGCGGAAGCGCGCACGGACGAAACTTTTGCTTTTTGAGCCGATAAGTTGAGGGTGACGTTGCATGAGTGCTGGGGCAGAAGGGCATTTAGCTGTTCTCCACTTCTTATATATTGAGTTTGAGTCGTTATTAGGGGTAATTTCTCTAGTTGCGGCCGAAAAAGGAGTTGGAGCAATTTTCCGAAAAACAAGACGGCCGCCACCATAATTGCTCTCCGTGGGAAATTTATTTCGTCGCTGTAAACGTAGGACTGCTGGAACGATGATATTTGGAGGCGAGTGAGATGTTCACTAAGTTTGTGCACGAAGAGTGCCAAGTTTCTTTAAGACAGCACGTGTGAAAGTTATGTTTCTAACGAATAAAGAAATAAAGCTGTACGGGATATCCAATATTGGACCCAAAAGGTTGTGTTATAGCGGGCTGTGCAAAGAGCAGACTTGGGCAGACAGGTGCTTGCACTCTACAGTAACATGACACAGCACTTATTATACAAAAAGAAAAAGGTGGCAAAGGGAAACCAGGTGAAAATTTGGTTTGGGCGGCGTAACTCAATGGGAACCAGTTTTGACCATGAAAAGGCTCTCAAGAGAATACCACTGATTGTGGGAGGTGGAGACTTTACAGGTAGGAAGGGACTGGTGGACTGTACTCCCAATTGAAACAACTTTACGGAAGGTGGTTCCAAAGCCGAGAAAACAAAGCTGTCGGCCAACACACGGTTTGGCCGCCAAGGGCTTTTGCGGTCAGCTGTTGTGTAATAACCTGTTGTGCGAGGTGCTGATTTTCGGCGCACAGGTACTTTGACATGACGGTCACTTGGCACAACACTTATTATAACAAAAAGAGTTGGCATAGCGAAACCAGGCGGAAATTTAGTTTGGGCGACGTAACTAAATGGGAACCAGTTTTGACCGTCAAAGGCTGTCAAGATAATATCACTCATCGTGGGAGGTGCACACTTCACAGGTAAAAAGGGACCAGTGGACGGTACTTTCAGTTCGAACCACTTTGGGATAGGTAACTCTAAAGCCGAGAAAAAAAAATTGTTGTCTACAGAAATCAGGGTGTCAGCGTTTTCACATCCAAAAGGAGGCTGATCCAGAAAGAAAGCACACCACATAAACTTCCATACTTAAACGTCGATTCTCCAGTGATTCTGAGTTTCACTGTTGTTTTTTTTAGATTTATATTTGTCACTTTTTTTACCGTTCGAATCTTTCTTCATGAAGTACAGATTGCGCGCCATACTTGCCCGGAAATATCAATGACACGTACGATGGGGACGAAACTTCTTTGGAGGGCATTCCTCCAACGAAATTGGCACTTCATACCCGCGAGTGTGGGATGGCATTTCAGTTCGTCCCATCGGCGCTTACACATATAGGCGTTACTGGTACGAAAACAAACGCAGAGCGCAAAGCGGCAGTGTAGAATATGTCAGCCGTCATGACACAGTGGCAGACATGATCGGGGGACCAAATTTCTCGCGTCGTACGGCACGGCTCCATCGTTGTCGCTGTCCCAGAAAACATCGGCGAGGTGAAAAACTGTGAAACTTTGTCTCCACGAGATACGGCGCATAACTATTGAAGCACTTAATGACGCAGCACAGGCAGCACTTCATGCTGTGAACCCAGCGCAACCGCACCACTCCGACTTCAAAGCGTACCAATGTACGAAGCGTGGTTTCGGTTTCGTTTTCTCCGGGGTTCTCACTGCCTACCTTCGCTACCGGCCGCGCGGCGGCGCGCCAGTCGCGTCGCACGGAGTGTGTATATATATATATATATATATATATATATATATATATATATATATAATATATATATATATAGTGTTGTTACACTTACATATATATATATAATCGCTGGTATACAGTTTTGGCAAAATTACTTTAAAAAAGTAAATAATTACATTACTGATTACTCTTCTGAAAACTGCAAAAATGTAATTAAATTACATTACAAATTACCGCAGACTAAAAGTAATTACATTACATTACATTTACTTTCCAAGGGTAATGAAATTGCTTTGACATTACTTTTGAATACCTTGAGGCAGTAATTAGTACACATTTTATTTAGAGTATATGTAACAAAACTCAAAGCTTCCTGTTTACACCGCAACTGCCTTATGCGCCAAAGCGAACCATACTGAACAGTCGTTTTGCTGGCGCACACGACATAAGTGTATCAATTGTTGATAGTGCTGTTTCAATCGGGTGTATCTCGAAACAACCCATTCTCATTTGAACCCTTCTCGTCTGAACCCATTCGCAAAACGCCCTTCGCGTTTTAACCTTTCGCGTTTCGACCCTTTCTCATTTGATCCCGTTGTCATTTGAACACCGTAGTGAGGTATAGAGAAAGGAAAAACAGTTAAGGATGAAGGTTGAAGATGAAGCGAAGCGGCACCATCTCTTGCATAGCACATGAAACAATTTTCCTTATGCCTGCGTGCCACCCCGAGTCTGTTGACGTAGCTACGTGTTCACATGGTGACGTGGTTTCAAAAGTGCCAGAGCAGATTCGGTACTTTATTTCTCTTCTGTCGCTGTATGTCGTTAAGATGTCGTCGTGTGGAGCGAATGGATCATTGTGCTAGTCGTGTGTTATTGCTTGTAATGGCCAATTCGGGTG